GGCGGTCTGAAGGGGGTTGGGTCGATCTAGGCAATCAAGACAGTTGACCCGTAAAATTCCTGTCTGACGCCTAAAAATATAAATTTCTCAATTTTAGCCAGCCAACGAAAAAAATCTACTGAGGCAAAAAGAGAAAGATCAGTACTGACCTTTTCACGTTACCATCAGATGCCAAATAAATCGAGTTGCTGCTAACGATAGGGGCAAGTTTTCTGACGAGATGATTGAGAGAATCCTTTGATATTTTCATTTGGTAGTGATAGTCAAAATCAATGAATTCGATCGAATTGGCCAACTTCGAGCTTTTGTGTTGCGTCTGGAAGAATATTTTGATATTTGAGGCAGCCAACGAGGATCGCGAGGGGGATGGAGGACACGATTTGAAAAGCATAACCGAAATTCTAGAAAGGACTGGAGACAAATATGGTCTCAAAGGCTCACGTACACGGAACGCATCAGCAAGAACTCTTTCTCCTTCTTTCCTGCCAAGGAGGTTCACGACCGTAACCTTCCCATACATCGACTCCAGTCGAGACATATGTCTAGAATAACAGACAAGAGATAATGGAGAGGGGATTATAAAAATTATTCTAAATGATGTCATTGAACCACATTACTATTATACATTACTACACCATTGAAACCAAAAATTGCTATGGCTACTCCTAAATCTTGATTTAGTTTGACAAAAAAAATAATCAAATAACCTATGGTAGGCTGTACCGCTTGCCTCGAACGCTCTCAATTTCACCTTGTGGGAACCGACTTGAACACCAGGTTGTTCCCAGAACAATGGCACTGAGCCTCGAACCTGCACCAAAGAACACTCGCCTTCGTCGAACACAAGAACCTGAACAGTTTCAATAGTGAGTAACCTCTAGTAGTAATATGAGCAGGCTCTGCCGTTTTGTATTACCTGCTCGGTCTCCACGAAATTGGCGACATATCCAAGCGAGTTTGCGCCACGCACATTGAACCGCGTGCCAACGCGTTCGCAACTGAGTCGAGACAGCAGCGCAACACGACCAGTCCGATGGCCCACGTAAACTGTGCGCACCAGAACAGAACTGAAACTCTTTGCCAGGACCATTTGAATTATCATAACATCCATTGCTGCCTCAGTTAGGCCTAGGTCTTCGCAGCCCCTGATGATCATTCCTCCTATGATTTTTGCCTCGAACACATTCACTTCAGGTTTACCTTCTCAGTCATATGGGTACTGCTGGTTCCTTAGATCAGCCTTTCATTGCTTTTTTTCTCTTAATAATTGCATTGATTTCGCATACTGGATTCACTGGCGCGTCTCATTTGGACGTATAAATAAATAAATAAATAAATAAATAAATAAATAAATAAATAAATAAATAAATAAATAAATAAATAAATAAATAAATAAATAAATAAATAAATAAATAAATAAATAAATAAATAAATAAATAAATAAATAAATAAATAAATAAATAAATAAATAATCTTTTCGCGACTTTCATCTTCAATTCTTGCTCTCTTCACTACCATGCTTTCGTGGCAACAATGCAGCAATTCAATAAAATGGCGTAGCATCAAATAACCCCAAACCTATGTGCCTCCGTTTTGGTCAAGCCGTTCGATTGCGCGACCGTTCGAAACCAGGGTCGGTCCTATCGTTGCTACTTTTCGAAAAATTTTTACGACCCCCCTCCCCAAAGGTGGATTTGGTACGACCCCCTTCTCGACCCTCGACCACCATATTCCTCGCTATAGTATTTCATTCTGGTATCACTCAACCCACCAAACCCCGCCACTTTTCCTCCAAAAATGCCGTCGAGCGGGGTATATAGTCACTCTGAAACAGTAAAAAATTTACCAAAATTCCCTAAATTTCCCCCAACTTTACCCCACTTCTACCTATAATCTCACGCTTCATTTTCTAGGGAAGGTTATATACGCGCGCTGAGACGGCAAATTTTCTCCCCGCGCCACTCCTCACCTCACCTCATGCAACTTCTTACAATCGAAGCAAAGTACGACCCCCCCCCCTCTACAACCTCATCAAAATATACGACCCCCCTCTACAAACTCATCAAAATATACGACCCCCCTCTACAAAACTCATCAAAATACGACCCCCCGTTGCTACTTGTAGCAACATAGGGTTGACCCTCTGCTTTCGAAACCCTTTCCACGGAATGCCTTCCCCATCGTCATCTTGAGCCTCACGCAACCTGTCAGCATCCACTAGCAGAGGAAGGAGGGAGAGACTAGGACAGGAGTGAACTTATGTCTACACCAAATCACACAACAAGTCAGAAATATTCACCCTTCGCTCCCGAAATGTTCCGAGAACTTCCCCACTGTTGAACATGGTACAACAGACAGCTGATGCTCGTCCTTCCAGCTTTTCTCAGTCAACTAGTCATTAAGGCACTACCCTGTCACTTATCAATTTCCATGTTGGGAAGGTAACCTATATGAAATTCCTCATAGAGCTATGGCAATCTCGCTAATATTTAAACGCACGCCCATGCTATGCATTCCAGGAGCATGGCAATTGTCTACGCCAAACCTTTCAAAAGGGAAGTGCAGAGTTCTGTTCCTGTAATGAAAGTGGTTCTTATAATAGCCTTAGGAATGACAAGCCAAAGTGATGAGGTCCAAATGAGATGCTCACCAGAAAAACCGTGAATCACTGCCTGTATTAGCCGCACGCCGTTGAGCACACAGAGTTATATCGTTAGCGAGGATTTGAAGAATAGTAGAACATACCCGAGGACAATAAGCGTTGTAACTGTAAAAATGGCAAAGGAAAATCTCAAAACTAGGATATCGCAGAATATTAGGGACCTTTGAGGTAAGTAAACATGGAATAGGCAAATGTATCAAATCGAAGAAAACCGTACATTCATTCCAACTATTCTATTGCTGTCATGACCCATCTCAGATCTTTTACTGATGTCAGTGAAACTCATTTTTACAAAATCGAGAACGCTGCTACAGTATGGCCGCTTGTTCGAACACAGCCATTAAAGACAAGTCTCCGTGTCTATATGAGTGGACAATCGTAAAAATTCCAGATTGAAGCTTTTGAATTTATGTCTACGGAAAATGAGGGGTACCGAACAGAAAGGATATAGAATCTCAAGGATAGCACAAAACAACACATTTTGTGAGCAGACCTGGAACAGAACATTCCTCTGCCCCTCTCGCAGCCCTTCACAGTTAACGGCGACGATACGCGATAAGCTGCCGAGTTCCTCTTCATGGGCTCTTCGACTGGAAATGAAACCAAAATTTTGCCAATAGAAAACCATCCGCCATTACTGATCGAGCCGCCTTTCTGTTTTGTCCTTTGGACGGTCTACAGTCTCTGGACTCCGTTGGTTCGATCAAAATCAGTGGATCACTTCTTGGGGTGAAGTGATGAAATTGGCAAATAAAAACAACTGAGGAAGTTCTGAGGCTTTGCTATGCGAGGAACTGCTGACAAATTTTTCTCAAATGCAGATGATGCTATGAGGTAGTAGACCGCCGACCGAAGAATGAGCTGCTGACGAGGTAAAGGCAAAGCAGAAAAAACGGAGAAGAAGCCTAAAAGGCGACAAAACCGAACACTGTACTCCCCTTAAAGCGAGAGATTACGATAAAGTCTTTGTGCAACATGGAAGAACGAGCACCACCTCAAGCAGTAGCCAGAGCTTAAAGGAATCGAGATGTGGCCTTTTCGTGAAACTTGATATTCTACTTTCACCTGTGAACACAACACATCCTATCGTATCTCTCGCTTTAAAAACATACACACTAGACAACACCATCGTGCTGACCTCAATCAACTTTGAACGCTTTGTTCTGTTTCACGCTTGGACATGTGCAAAGGAACATCAGGTGGCGGTAGCACAACAGTGGGCGGGAAAGCGCGAAAGGGCTAAGCAACAGTCCTAGCAGGGCGGGCGTGGTCGGAAACGGCTGCAATCCCCTCGCCGATTCCCACTTCGGAGCTGTTCAGCCCCTAGTCAAGAACGTAAGAAGTGTGACTGAACAAAAACTCACCTTGGAAAGCCGCTAGGCAGGGAGCTGAAGTGGGCGTGGTCGGAATCGGCCGAGGGGATTGCAGTCGTTTCCGACCACGCCCACCCTGCATGGACCTGTTGCTTTAAGGCAAAGGTCGGGATTAGTTTGATCCAAAGTAACTCCCTTTCTCGGTGCCAATCCTGTACTTGGTTACCACGAGATTGCGCGCGGGGCTTTGCTCTGCCTGCTTGTTCTCACCCTCGAGCGTTGATCGTCCACCGGGGATCCTTGTGCCTGTCTTTACCGTAGAGATGTTCCCACACTCAAAACCCGAAACGGCGCAGTAATAAGGCCCCAGGGCATGTACTATGCGCTATCGCCGCCTGGCCCCGCTACGACCGCCCACCTTGGGATGTGGTGCATGGCTGGCATAACGTGTGAAATCAGCTAGGTTGATTGCCGTATCAACCGATAGAACGACTGATATCTTCAGAAAACTTGTTTGTACGTGCCTCTTCCCCAAGCCAGCCTCCTTCACTGCTAGTGGGAAAGAGGGTTTTGTTAACGGCCTTGTCGACGGTTTTTCTCAGTTTTTTCTCCACTGTCGTTCCACTTCGCATCTCTATACTCAGTTTCAATCGCCATAATACCCCCTTATTGAGCCCGACTTTTGCCTTTAAGGACGCCGGAGCAACTGTAGCTGCTAAGGGCGCACACTTCACAACGAAACAAGCCTGCTTCCTTTGAAGAACCTGCTCCCAATCAAAACAGATATATTCCCTTCCCCCACTCTCAATTTATCGCACCAACTGCCTTTCGAATTTTCAGTGGGAAACATCCCTTTAGCAATTGCTATTTTCACCTTTTGCGGCAAACAGTTGTCAATCACGCCGTGATGCTCCCTGTTTCTACAGCAGACTGCAACACCCTAATTTGCGGATGTGTTCGTGCTCCTTTAGAATGCATGGCTTATCCCAAAAAAACCTTTGAGAAAATCACTCCTTTACTCCGCACAACGATCCAACCGGATGATGTAAATACTAGTTATGAAATAGGTAACGAGCCAATGTGGATAAAAATAAGGTGAGTAGGGAACTAAGCATCAGCAGGTCATAAGCAACTTACATCAATGATCCGAGGATCCACACATTCGACGGCTCCAACAGTTCGGAGCGAAATTAATTCACAAGAGATGATTTTTACGATATCCGCTCCATAGAGTTTGGCCAAAACGGGAGAGCACCCCGATGACCCGGCGAACGAGAACGTGCTCATCTGAATCAGGCGAGGTTCACAAAAAGTCCTGCAATCTTTTGAACTCATGAGAAAAAGACCTCTTGTGATTCGCAGCACGCCCATTAAACCATACGAGTCCATCACTTTTACATAGCCTTCGCCTTTCCACTTCAGCTGCAGCGGAATCTGAAGCAGTCAATAAGTTAGTAAATTATTTAATAAGAAAATCAACAAATAAAAAATGAAAACACAATAACAAAAATTATACACCAGTTTTGATGCACTTAAACGAAAGTTATGAGAAAGCTGCGCGGATGCACAGTCTATGAGCAAACGTTGCTCGAGAAAATTGAACCTCTGTCTCCAGCACACTGGCCTCTGATCATGTATAGTTAAGTAATTATGTATAGTCAAGAAATCCATGATTTCTATTCAATCAGGACGAATCGAGCAATGCTCTTAGCCAGGTAGCGATTTACATTCTATTCATGTTAATCGTCAGTCTTCTCCTGTATTTCGTCTTTCACACAGCTACACTTGACATCTGAGCGATGGCTCCTTAATGTTTAGAAACAAACAGAACAAAATATAGGCAGGTATCAACAATATGCTTTCCTATCTGCTAAACTCAAATATGCTTCCCTCATCTGCTAAACTCTTCTTTGAAATGAATTATGATTCAGAAAATCGCAGGGGTGGTGATCGAGGCTCATGTGAAAAGAGGTGCTGGGATCCATCCTATGGTAAATTCGCTCTTTTGCACCTTTCCGCAACATAGCTAAGAAGGGAAAGTTCTGACATCGCTAGGTCGAACCATGCTGCGTATACGTAGCCCGAAATAAAAATTTTCAATGCAGGCAAACGAAA